CGATGCACCAGTCCGCGATGCGTCGACCGAACTACTAACGGATGTTTGAACTCGGGATTTGAATTGGCTTGGAGGTCTGTGACACGCAACAGATGAACCCATCGCGGTACATGTCTGACATTCTCACTTCTTCCGACGCGCAATATCTACCGCCAGAATAGCCTCGATTGCCGTGGCTGGCAAGTCAGCACATTCATCCTGCCAGTCTATGCCTTTCAACACGAGATTGGCTTTCAACTCACTCGGTCCTGGATTGCTCCGACCGAATCGTTACTTATCAAGAGCTTAGTTACCCTTAGACTGTGACAGAGAGAGAATGAGCCTAGTCTTTGCCTTGGGTACATGTCGATCGATTTGGTCAGCCTCGAACTGACTGAAAGTCGCCAAGGCTGCGTCGTCGTTAAGGAAAGCGACCCCGAGTGCTGGTACATCATCTCCAGATTGTATCTCCCGTATCTGGTACTCACTGATTCCCTCATTCTAGCTTCGAGACTCCTACTTGCTCTAGATGCGGACGATAAGGCTGATTGGTGTGAACCACAGCCGTAGCAGATGCTCCCATACGCTCCAGCTCCGGGTCCAGTTCAACCTGCCCTCATCTGATTGATGTATTCTTCATGTTAAGTAAGTTACCATAGTGCATGGACACCCTATCTGCCTGAGGTGATCTTCAAGCCTCTTGTCACTCTTCGAGGCCACTTCCACGTCCCGTATAGATGGGAAGCCTTGGGCGTTGACCATTCACAGATCAAGACAAATTCCGCGACAGTTGCTACAAACCAAGTCAGTGTCTATCGCCACCACTGACAACACAACACTGGAAATAATTGTGCCTGTGGGAAACATCCAAAAAAGCATCTCAGCCACGAGTAAAACTGGATTAGCCGTACACGGCATTTACAACTCATCCTTCCCATTTTGAGGCTTCTTCGTATCCTCCTCCCTTTCCGAAAGTTCCGGAAGTTTCTGTCCCTTAACAATCTTGAATCGGCCGTCACCTCCCAGC